TGTGCCTGGGGCCAGGGCTGGCCAGCTCCCGGCTGCCTGGCGGGGCCGGCTGAGGCTGAGCCACCATCACCTTCCCTGGTGTCGTGGCACCCAAGGGAGACGGTGCTGGGTGGGTGTCACTGCTGTCCCCGGGGGCGGTGATGGGCAGCCTCCCACCAGGCAGGCACTGGGGTGTGCCAGGCTTGCCCTGGGTGCCTGGTCTGGGGGCTTTGGAGTTTTTGGTGAGGCTTTTTATACCCCCTCAGAGAGCACCACTTGATGGGGACACTCATAGCCTTCGAGCAGGAGCCCCGTGACAGAGCCAGCAGCTCCCCCCAACCGTTCCACTGGCAGATGCTGTGGGGGCATGCTGCTCCCATCAAAAAAAAATCTCGTCCATCCCATAGCCCTGGCGACGTTCCCAGCCCAGGGCCGAGCCCTGACCCACACTGCGATGGCTGGGGGCTGCCCAAAACGCTCAACATTTCATCCTGGTACCCCCACCTGCTGACTCACCCTGATCCAGGCATTGTGTTTCGAGCTCTGGAGTGGGACCTTGCAGCTGCCTGGGGGGAACTCAGCTCTGGGGTGCTGCGGTGACACTTTGCTGGGTGGGATGTGCAACCAGGGCTCTGGTGCTGTGGCCCGGCTGCAAGGCAGGGGTTGGGGCTGGAAGCTGCGGGGCGGGGGGACACAGCAAACCCCAGCTCAGTGGCTGTAACTGAAGCCCAAACCCCTCCAGCCTGAAAAAAATGTGACCTGCTGCGTTCAGTCTCACCCAGGAGGTCCCACGCGTGGTCGGGGTGGGCTCAGCCTCTCCCGGCACTGGGCTTGGAGGGGCCAGGGCAGGCAGGACCAGCTCGGCAGAAAGCCTGCCCCCCCCAGGGATGTGCCTCACTTGGGGTGACTAATCCTGGCCCTTCGCCCCAGCTGATTGCTCAACTGGAGCGACAGGAGCCAAAGTGTCACCTCCCTCAGCCCCGGGAGCCTTGGCCAGGCCATCCCCTCCCAACGTGGGGACATGTGGGTGCAGGAGCCCGCTGCATTTCCCTGGCCATCCTTGCCTGCTGCAGAGCCATTTTCGGAGCAGCGAGTACCGTCCCTGCCGAGCTGCAGGTCCTGGTTCAGCCCCTGCCTTCTGAACCTGGGCTGCAAAGGGCCCCTTGGTGTGAAAACGCTGCACTTTTCCGTCTGTACCTCTTTTAAACCTCAGCATTTCTTGACTTGCACGCAGGAGAGGTTCCCTGAGCTGGGAAGTTTCTATCACCTTTGATTTGCATTTTCTCCAGCGCGGGCACAGCACAGCAGGGCTGAGGCTGCAGATACTGCCCGGGCATTAAAGAAGCCAAACAGCCACAAAAGCTTTGATGGCTCTTGCATAACTCCAGCTTGACCTGACAATACCCTTTTAAGCTACCAAATCTCTCAAAGCCATGAAAAATCCACCATAAAATTCACGTTTTTATGATCACGTCTTCCATCCCTTTACAGCAACTACAGGGCTCAAGGACGACTGGGACAAGTCCACAAGACCACAAGGCGAGGATGGAGTTTCAGCTCTGGTTATGGTTAGATTTGGTTTCCAGACCTTCAGCCCCAGAGAGCACTGAAATGCAGCCGCTGGGTTTCAGCCAGGAATACCCGGGGCAGTCCCTGGGCTCTCGGGAAAAGAGCTCAGGCACTGACAGCAGACAGGAATTTGACTTTTATATTTGAAATGTCACTGTAGTCTTTCATTGTGAACTGATCCGGTTAAAGCACAAGCATGTGTGTGTGTGTGTCTGTGCATGCATGGAAGCATGCATCTTCGCTCTCCTTCTCCCCCTGAGTTCCTTCTTGTCTCCAAATCCTGGCCACAAAGCTGTGAGATGCAGGAAAATTTAGTTTTCATTCCCCGCCTAGCTGCAGTCCCTGCCAAGACCCCACTCACATGTAGATCCACCGCATCGGTGGTCTGCAATCGCTCTGCTAAGGCCCAAACTGTCCTGTGGGAAAGCGCCGTCTTATTTTATGCAAGGTCTTGAGCAAGACGCGATGCTGAGTCTGCACATGGAGCTGGGAGCCGGGAGTCTTGCCCGCTCCCATCCTATGTGTGGTTGCGCGAGCTGCCGGGACGCGGTCGGAGGGCTGCTCAGTGTGGACGCCTTGTTTTTCATCGCCCCAACCTTCCCGATTTACCGTAGCGATGGACCCAAGCTGCTGCCTGCAGCGGAGATGCAGAGGAGGTGGCACGTGAGGCTGGGAGCTGCTGCCGTCACTGTCAGGAGCTGCAGCAGGCTGGCAAGAGGGAATTACATGGGAAGGAGGGGGAAACCTCAGAATTTGGGATCTGGAGAAGGTACTGGAGAAAGCAAGCCCAGAAAAAGGAAGGTGGATGAGGGCAGACAAGCCAGCTGCAGGGAAAGGCCCTACGTGCAAACGATGCGCTCCAACCTTCCACTGAGTCACACAGGGTCTTTCTTAATCAGAAGCCTCCAAAAGCCGAGCTTGCAGTTTGCGCGTCGCCGTCAGCGCGCTGCGTGCACACCGAACGTTCAGCCCCTGGATAAGCCCGCATGAGGAGTGACCTGCTTTCACGTCCCACAGTCGCTCTTCCTCACTCCCTCCAGCAAACGCTTTGTCTGTTCTCAGGTAGATCAGAGAGGAACACAACGTCGCAAACACGGAGCCTTTCTGCAAAGTACACAACGCACCAGCTGCTGTGACGTTCCCACCAGAGGCTTTTTAGCCTCGGGGCTTTGTAGCACCCTTGGTTTTATTTATTCAGGTTCAGCAAACTCACAAGATGAAAGCAAGAGGAAGGAGTGTTTTATTAAGAAAGAGTCCGTCATTATTTTAAAAAAAAGAAAAACAGCCATCTTTATGTCCTCCTTGAGATAGACTGGAGGCTCCTCAGCCTGGATACTGCTCTGAGCACGAGGCCCACGCACGCTCCTCCTATGCAGTAAACCCAGAACTTTTGTCTCACATCTCACTGCAGAAGAGACAGCTCAAACTGATTTTTCTTTCTCTGGATCTATCCTGGTCACGATGGGGAGGAGACTTGGCAAAGGCCAGTCTTCTTTATCTTGCTTCTCTTGCTAATCATGCCTTCACCTGGCTAAATCTCTCTTGTTCCTAAGGAACGATCCAGTTGCCCTGCACTCAGCCATTGCCTTTCTGCAAAAATGCTGCTCTGTGCAGCGGGGCTGAAGCACAAGAGGTCAAACTCTTACAGAGAGGGAGTCCAGCAGCCAGATCTCTGTCTGGAAAGGCTTTCACTTGGTCTGAGTCACAGGACGCAGAGATCCCTTAAGCTCCCGGTAGGAAAAGCAGAGGTGTCAAAACAGCAGCTGTGGAAGAGGTGGGTGTGTTACAGATCCATCACTTCTTCCTCCACGGCTTTGTCCTGAGATTGCACATACTTCTCCTGCACTGCAAGCGTGCTGATAACGCAGTAATTAAGGAAAACAAGGGGCTGGGCTCGAACACTCCCTTCTGCAAGGAGCTCTGAGCATTCTCAGCCAGGAACCAGGCCCACATTAGCCTGAAGGCTGGCAGGAAGACAGCGTTACCGGCAGCAGCACAGCAGTACTGGCAGCCGCACGCATCACCTGAGTTATTTCTGGCTCTGGCTGATCCCAGACCCGACAAGTACAGGACAATCAATTGTATGGTTTGGACGAGGTGGAATGAACCACTCCAAGTGAGTGTGAGAGAGAGAAAAGTTGTCAAAAGATTCCTCCCACACCGACAGTTATCAATTAACAACAAACGTGGTGGCTTTGGTGTGGACAACTGTCTGCTAAGGTCTGGGCTGAGCCCGACCGACTCACTACATGCGTATCACCGAACAGCATGAGATGATGTTAGTCAGAACCTGGGCCTGCAAACTGCCAGCCCCACCTCCAGCCTCTCTTCCCCAAGGAAGGAGAAATTAAAACTCAACACGACAGAGGATTGGTGGAGAAGGATACGAAGTAAAGTGGAAATCGGCTCCCACTGCTGCCGACATCAGAGCTTCCAGGCTCCTGTGCTCCTGGGCTCCAAAGGAATAGCCGTTGGCTTTGTCCACCGCCTGCATCACCTGCCGCATGCTCTCCTTATCCTGAAAGGGAGGGAGATGACACACAGGGAAACTTGTCCTTCCCCGGAGGCAAGAGTTGGCACTGGGCTTTACCAAGGATTTTCTCCGAGGGTCTGGGCCACCCACACAGCGCCCAATGCCCCAAGGATGCTGCCGGCCTCCCTGAGCCCAGAAGGGCCACAGGACAAACAGGGGCACCCGCTGTGGAGCCCGAATACAGGACGGGCTGACACCGTCCACCCTCTCACTCCCTTTCACCACCTCTGCTCTCGGCCCATTTGCCTTTGTTGACACTTCTGCAAACTACGATTAATGTTTTCAGCCCCTCCTCCCAGGTTTATTCCTCCCAATCTTCTAATTATTTTGTGCTCCCTAACTTAACATTTTAGGTAATACTTTGCCCAGATTTGAAATGCAGGCACAGAAGAGCTGAATGAAGGAGGAGCCTTAATTCCCCACCCCAGGACACAAGGCCCACGTAGCCCCAAGCTCATTAGCCTTCTCTTTTCCTTTGGCTGCCATGGACCATTTACAAGCCTGGGTGTGTTTCACTGTCTTCCTCTATCCCTGAGTCTCTTCACAGCTGAGGTTTCCAGCCCCCATGGCTCTAAGCAGATGTAACCTAGCTGCTACCAAACGTGCTGACTACATATCCAACGCTCCCTGTTCTCTCTGCCCTGCTCCTCCTGCTGCATCACCTGGACGTTGAGCGGAACGAAGGACACCAGGCTGTAGTCCTCGATCACCTCCACCAGCTTTTCATTGAGGCGGCGGTAATTTCTGAAGAAGGGGTCGGAAGCTAAATGGTCAACCAAGTACGAGAGGTCCAGGACCTCTGTGTAATAATCCAGGTTGAAAGCTGCAGGGAAACACCAAGAAGCTCTGAAGGCAATTTGTAACTTGAAGAATCCAGTGAGATTTACACCAGTTTCCCAACCATCTCCCAGCAAGACATCCCTGTACCCAAACAGCTAATTTGCACCTGACGCAGCCCAACTCCACGTGTCTCTCTCACAAAGGCTCTTACCCAGCTTGCCATATTGCTCGATCAGGTCCATCTTGGAGAGGACGTTGACGTGGGGCAGTTCCACGTGCAGCATGGTGGAGAGCGAGGTGCAGAGAACAGAGATGAACTTCCCAGGGTCCGTGCAGTAGTGAGAATCTACCAAATGCACAGCAGCCAGCTGGACAGCAAAGGCACAAAAGGACAGCACAAGGTCAGACCCGTGACGAGTCCATCCACTTGCTTTTGGGACAGTCTGAGAAGTGGCTATAGGACGATCTGTTCAGACCTGACAATAACCACAAAGACTCCCATATAGGGAAAGTTACCACCTACCTTCTAGCTCCTGCATATAAAACAGCCTCATATATGAGTGCACACATATATATGTAAAAGTACATCTCGCCACATTAACACCCACGGACCACCTGGGGGATTCAGGACCCAGGGTGCTGTTGCACAGAGAGGGCTGTGGGGAGGCCTATAGGGGTGCTGAGCTCCACCAGCACTACTGAAAGACACTTAAACCTCCACCTGCTCTCCCTTTTCTCAGGGCTTCTTTCTCTGCAGATGAAGATTCCACACTCGTCTGAACTCTGCAGGTTTTGTGGGGCTGGGAGCTGGGGTTAACTCTCCTTCCAAAGGACACGACTGCCTCCAGATTTCCACCTTCCCCACAGGAATGCTCACGCACACTGTGCACTCAGGAGCAGTAACTAGCACACCACGCTCTGCCAGGAGAACCAATTGTCAAGTGGTTTGAAATAATAATTAATAATTAAATTAATGAGTTGTTGGATTCCCTGTGTTTTGTGCAGCTGTAACAATGTGGTCCGAGATCTCTGTTAAGTTACTGCCTATTACACAATGTTACTTAAAATCAGGGTTCTGTCGTCGAGTGCGGTTGCGTCACAGTTATGCTTCTGCAGCAAAAAAAGCCACTTTAAAACTCACAAGCGGGTGTAAGCGCTCAAGTGAGCATCAAAACAGTAATGTAACTATCTTTTTTTAGTAGCTACAATTTCATATATATTTGAATAAAAATAATCTCTAATGTGCAGGTTCCCAGTGACATTCTCAAGCAAATGAACTCACCTTTCTTGCTCACACCATACACGGTTTGCACATTCATGGTTTGGCCCAAATGCAAAACAAATGCAACGTAAGCAAGTTAGCTTGGTTATGGGACTCTTCTCACCTGCGCTTCCTCATTTGCATCTTCCATTGTGCAAGAAAGCACAGAGCACGTACTACAACGTGCAGAGCGGACAGGAGAGCCAGGTAGGGACTGAGATGACGCCTGAATTTCTCAAAGCGCAGTGCAAAGGGTCTCCGCTCACCCAGCGCACACATCTACCTTCCCGCTCTGAAATACAGCGCCCACTCAGATAAAACACACAAGGTCTGTGGAGAGGAACCTGGAGCACAGCGAGAGTGTTTGAGGAAAGAATCCATGTTTCTGTTCGTGATAATCCCACTGCGTTAAATGCCCTGAACAAGCCAGTCTTTTGCCAGTCCCTCCGAGCATAAAATGGGGCAAAATTCCCCACCTTCCCTGATAAAGCCGTTTCACATGAAAGGCCAAACAGGTTAGTAAAGAAACCAGTCATTAGTACCCACAATCAAAAGCTTACAGCTTCCGAGCCCCTTGCACAAGCACGCAGGGTCCCAGGTGCTGATCCCAGCTCCAGGCGGAGCCCCAAACCTACCCTGAAATTCCACTTGGCCAACTGCGCGAAGACGTTCTTCAGGGCGTCATGGTGGGTGTAGAGCTCCACCTGCCCCGGGCAGTCAAACAAGTAGTAGTGACCCCTGAACGCAGCCAGCTTCTCCTGCAGCCAGTCCAAGTTGGCCTCCAGGTACTCCATGCAGTAGATCAACCCCCCGTTGGGCCCCAGCTTCAAGTTCTCCATCACGTCAGGTAAGGTGATGAGCTCTGCGATGTCGACGGCACACTGGTAGGGCATGGTCTCGTTGGCGGGGTCCAGGTTCACCACCATCACCTTGCGCCCGATCCTGCCCATGAACTCCTGCATGTCATGGCAGTAGGTCGTCTTCCCGGAGCCCGGAGGCCCGATTACCACCTGGCCGAAGGCCAGTGAGCTCCCCTTGCTGCCCTCAGACATGTCAGCTCATTTCCTTCTCCTTCTGTTGACCGAGAAAGGAAAAGCTCGCATTTACCATTTTATTTGCATCTATACGAATGTGATCTGCTGGAATTCACACCCAGGGAGCGGGTGGAGAGGAAAGGAAAGTGCCACTGTGTAACTGCTGCCTCCCGTCACTCCTTGCACAGCTGAGCCCCATGCCGGGGCGGACGTTACCCTGTTACCCCCCAGCTGGTGATGCTGTGGCTGAAAACAGGCGCAACCCCCAACCAGACCCACAGGGCTGTGCCAGTGGGATGCAGATCCCTACTCCTGCCCGCGTGTGGGGCGAGTTTTACCCTAGTTGGGTTCTTCCTGATGTGGCAGTGCCCACACATTCCCTCCCTTGCCCCAGCATGTCCTCATGTCCTCCCTCCATTTCTCCACATCCCCATGTCCCTCTCCTCCCCATGTAACCCCCATATTCCCACTCTCCACATAGTCTCCCTTCTCCCCAT